GTAGTCTGAGTTGCCAAAAACTACTTGCAAGGTCCAGCATCATATACCAGGCAGACTTCTTTAGGGCTCCTAAGAGCTCATTAATTCGGAGCAACGGGTAACTATCCCGTTTTGTTTTCTTGTTCAATTTTCGAAAGACAATGCAAAAGCGTAACTTTCTATTCTTCTTTTTTACCAGGATGACCAGAGACACCCACGAACTATTCGATAGCCGAATCAAACCAGCTTTTTCCATTCTTTGTATTTCTTGTCCAATAAATTCATGTTCAATTTTGGACGTAGGATAGGATTGCTGCTTAATCGACAGTCTCTTTTCAATATAGATTTCGTGCTGCACAACTGTTGTTCGACCTAGTTCACAAAGCTCCCGCGCAAAGAGACCTTGGTGTCTTTTCAACATTTCTTCAAGATGGCGTCTTTGTCCTATCAACATTTTGCCCACATTCAACTTATCGATCAATTCTTCATTTTTACCAAGAAGACATATAGCCAAATTATCTTTCTATGGCTTCTTTAGAGTACAATTGATGGTATCGTGTCCTTTCTTCATACATCGTTCATATAGTTTTGCAGACCTATCTGACAGAGGTTGCATTTCATTGAACAAATATTCCTGATTTAGTAATACTTCTTCATCGTCGGTCTCAGCATTTTTCTCATTTTCATCTGATTCGTGGTACTTTCATCTTTTTCATCATCAGATTTATCTGATTTTTCTTCATGCTTTGCTTCAGGTTTTTTCTCAGAAAACACCTTATCCATTATATGCTCATTTATGTTAGCCAGCTTACAATATTCGGTTAGGATCTTTACTTTCTTGTCACCATCCCGTATAGTTAATTCGCAGATCTCCAATCCAATCGTGCTTGTGCTTTTTTCATCCAGTTGTTCCCAACAATCATGGCATAGTTTCTAGCTTCAATTACAACAGCATGCAAGGTTATAGTTTTTCTACCACTGTTACTGGAAATTGGTTCACTTTACCCAGGGGTTATTTTTGTTTCCCATGTATCCCTGTCATTAATATAGTAGATGAATTGTTGATCGAAATCTCAAGCTTTTTTAAAAATCTAGCCGAAACAACACAACCCAAAGAACCGCTATCCAAGATGAGAATTATTGGCTCATTGTTAACCCGAGCTTCACAGTACATCGACGTGGTGTAACTCCTATTGGTACTGTTCAATCGAAATTCGGTAACCTTCGGCCTAACGATTCTTTCTAGGCATAGTATCTTTAAGGCTTCTTTTCGTAGACCAGGCGCCACATGAAACAATTGCACGTAGGTTATATCAGCCTTTTGCTTCTGTAAGTCTGACATTATCAAATATGGTGGGATGCCTGTTACTACTTGTGGATCGATGGGCTTCGACCTTTTCTTTCTTGTCATTTTCTGCTTTTTTTCTTCACGTTCGTCCTTCTCAGCGGCTTTGTTCGCAGACAGGGCATCAGCATTATCATGCTCATTATCATCCTTGTGTTGTCTATTAGCAAGATAAGCTTCTTCAATCTTTATTACTGAGAGATTTCTTGATGTCGATCCACTCTCACCCTCTAAAGATGCGTCATGTAGTTTAAATGCTCAAGGTCATTTTCCATCTCAACCCACATGGCTTGCGCTCATGTTTCCGCATTTGTCACCACAGGGTTAGTAGGTTATACATTGTTGGAATTAGGGATATTATACCGACTTCTATTCTCATTAACTTGCTGAGGCATATTCGGGCAATTCCTAGTGTAATGTCCTGGTTGTTGACATGAAAAACATGTAGGCACATGACCATTCCTTTCCCTATGATTGCTATTATCCACAGGGCGTGAACGATTATTACCATCATTATTATTTCTTACGGCCGATATACTTCCTGTAGTAGTGTAATCACGTGCTCTATAGACCCATTCAAGTTCATATTTATAGAACCATTTGATGGCAGACTTCTTGTATAAGCGGCAGTTGGCACTATCGGCTGTGTTGTCACTTGTTGCTGTAGTGCTGGCTGATATTGTACATATCGGGGTTGTTGTGAAGACACAACAGTGTATATATAAAAATAGAATCAACAATATTCTTTTCAAGAAGTTCAGAATAGAAATATTGCTATCCAACTAAAGAAATAACTTGTTTCCTAGCATCTATCAATAGTTTGTATATGCTTGAATATCTGTTATCATTAATATAATTTCCTTTTTCAACATCACTATTATTAAAACTAAACTTATCCCTATTAATACCATAAAGTATTGATTTCTAATTCTGCCACTATTTGTTGGTAAGATTGCTTTTGCTTCAAAACATAAAGCTCTGTTTTCGATTATATTATTAATATTTGGTGTTTCTTTTTTTTAATATTGCATCCTAGCCTATCTAAGGCAAAAAATATCACTGTTTTGCAATTGGACCCAACAGATTTATGAAAATTAAGCTCATGTTCCAAATAAACTCTTTCATTATATTGATATGACATGTTACTAGAGATGCAATATTATTAGATAGTTTATTTATATCAATTGTAAATTATAGTTACTTAATAAGAAGAAAATTTAATTAAATAAAAAATATTTTGAGATACTATTAAATAATTTTAATTTTAATTCTATAACTAAATAAAAACATTTATCTAGTTTAATAATAATACATTGTTTATTTTTTAATTTAAGAATAGAAATAAGAGATAGCTAATTACAAAACAAGAAAATAAATTTTGACAAATAGAAAAGAAATAACTTTCAAGAAAATATTAAAATCAATAATAAAAATTATATTTTTCTGTAAAATATTTTTAAATTAAATTTAATCAACTAAAAGCTTCAATAAAAAATTTAAATATTATTAATTAATTAATTAAATTATTGTACCAGTATTATGAATTTAATTCTACCAAAATTATGTTTACCAGAGTTATGAATAGGTAATGTAAAAAAAAATTCACTTTATTACATAAAGTCACTAGAATTTAAAGTTCAGTGTGATACTAATGATTTTACTTCTAATAGTTTTTTTTCTAGTTCATATCATTGGTTTATAAAACTTACTTTTTGACTCAGTTTTATATTATTTTTAAATAGTAAAATTTATAAAATTCAAATTGTAATAACTCTTGTACAAGCAAACTTATACAAATAATATTATTTTTAACTTGCTCTTAAATAAGCTTGTTTAAAGTAGGATTGGGGTACAGAAAATTTTTCAGGCATGCCCCATGGGCATGCCTCTGGTTTTTTGATTTAGAGGCATGCTCTATAGGCATACCCTAAAATTTTTTATGCAACAACTTTTTACATATATAAATTTTTTAAAAAAAGGCATGCCCGAAAGGCATATCTCATATCTTTGTGCCTCTAACCCTAGTTTAAAGTTATGGTATTGATTTTTTCTAAGTTGTAGACTCTTATTTAATCTAAGTGATACGTAAGATACTTTATTTAATAAACAAAATCCTATATTAAATTTATGATGATTAATATTACTATACAAGATAAAAAATATTATATTAATATAAAAAAAGTTATTGATATTTCTACATCTTTTTTTGTTATTTT